TCACCTCCCGATCTACTGAGCCGACCTGTGACAGTCTCATTGTCACAGGTCGGCTAGAACTATGAGGCGAGTGGAAATCACTCACCTCATAGTTCTCCTTTAAAGATCATACACTTCCTCCTAAACAAAGGAAACCAGCGTTATTGTGGAGAAGAGAGCCCAGTGGCGCCAGCTTGTTACCTCCATTGATGTTCTTCTCAGTGGAGAACAGCCAGCTGGAAGGTCCCAGGAAGCTCTGGAAGATAAATGGAGGTGTTCAGGTTTCAGATCCGGACATTTTGTTTAGAAGTGAGTTCACATGAAAAGGAACTTGGAGGGTTTGCAAGAACCTTTTTCCTGCCCCCTAGCAAATGTTTCATTCATTTACACTGCCTGCGGTGCGTGGAGCGGGGACGGTGTAGCTGCTGCTCATCCACAGAGGCTGCACCCTCAGTGGTTGCTCAGTGACCGAAGAGGAGAGACACGAAGATGGCGGCAGACAGAGCGACGAGGGACAGCTCTGGGCGAACAGCCAGGTGAGTCGGCCATAATGACGTCACGTATACAGTTCCACTTGAACTTTTAGGCCCCGTTTGTGTGCGTGGCAAAGTAGCTTATGAGGCATTTTCAGCTGCAAGTGTCGCATGTTTGATGCACATGGACATGCGGGGAAAAAATTTCACGTTTTACCAGCTGCGTTTGGAGTGCCATTAACAAGTAATGGCACCGCAAGTGCGTTGCGCGATTTTAACACATTGCATGAATGCAACGCCAAAGTGTGAACATGGACTGAGCGCTGAAAAGATTTTGCATTATGTTGGAAGATTTTTATTTTGACAAATACGATATTTATTTTTGCTTCTTTGATTATTATGGATGAGGCGCTGGCCGTGCGTTGGGAGACAGTCGTCAATCAGCCTGCAGGATTGAACAAAGAAAATCAAATTGATTTGCTAAACAGCGTGGTTGGGGGATCTCCCCTGCCTGGCTGTTGTATTCTGAGGCTGGCGGGTGTGCTGCTGTCAGAATACATGAACAGTGATTGGATTGCAGCTCCTTTTGATTTAAAAATCGAGTTTTGTCAGAAGGTCGGGGGGGTGGGGTGGGGGGTTCTGGAGGGGCCCAGATCTTGGCTCAGGGCTTGTTCACACCATAAACAGTGCGTTCCAGAGTGGTCAGGAATGCACTGTATTACTGCCCTGGCCGGCTTCCTGCAGGAGGGGGCATGACGGTGCGTTGAAGTCAATGGCATCAGAACACATGGCATATCAGTGTCTGCATTCCGGTCCAGTGCAATCTGCAAAAATGCCACTATTGGACCGGAACACAGGCACTGATGTGCCACACGTTCTGGTGCGGGCGATCGCACTGCAGGCAAGGAGCGTGGCTGCGGTGCCATTGACTTCAATGCACCGCCACGCCCCCTTCTGCTCCTAAACGCAGCAGGCCCGGCTGGGATGCGATACAGCGTGTTCCAGCAGCTGATTACCCTAGAACGCACTCTATATGGTGTGAACAGGTCCTCAGTCAGCAGGAGGAGTGTATGGGCAGCTTTACACTTCCCACTGGGAGAACAACATGGTGATGCTGCACAGCTTAACTAGAAAATAAGTGCGTCACCCACCTGGCCGTGCAGTATGGCAGGGGTGTGTAAATCTCAGGACTGGCTGAACAGAATGTATATATCACAGCAGTGTAGTTTGCATGTAGTTCTATAGAGCAGATTCACACCTATGCAATCCTATGTGGTGCAATCATTTCTGATCATTTATTATACGTTTTAATGCCTAATAAAGTCTGAATAGGCCCCAGAGTAGGAGCGCAGTTGTGTGGTATTGTACGCTGTTTGGGGACACAAATGCATAGCACAGAATTAGCCATGTGCAGCTTGCCCTAGTTTTATCAATGATCCCTTTATGCATTTCTATCTCTTGTCACATCATACATGGCTGCCTGCGCTTTTGTACTGCTCACTATACTGAATCAGCTTCCATTTATGTCTACCATTCCCCTGGACAGAAACAGCTGAACATTTACATTCATTTGCAGATGTGCTGTAAAGGCATAAAAACCCCCCTCCTATGCAAATCCTGTGCGTCATGTAAAATGCTTTCCCCTTCCCCATATTAGGGGCACAGAGGCACTTTGGGGAATCCTATTTGTACGCATTATTGTCTCTGACGGCAATCTACATGAGCAGACATTTTGGCTGACTTGACATCTTTTGTGATGAAATTATTCAGAGCCGGTTCATTGCCTTTTTTTTTCTGTGTTTGTCATTTCTGAGCGCTGTTTAGTTTGGGGGTTCTTCACATGGAATGATCTGTAACATTTAGGGGATCAGTAATTGGAGTTTCTCACAGTTCATGGATTAGCGTTGTCTTGTACGGCATGTCAGTACATTAGCAGTCTTATGTAGTACAGAAATGAAGAGGACAATCATGTGGCGCATTATATCAACCAATCCAGTGTTACTTTACTGCAGTGCTGTCAGATAGGAGTTTTCTGATTGGTCGTTATGTATAATGGTGGTTACACCTCAGGGTAGCTCGGTGGCAATTTTTCTGTTTCAGTGAGGAATGTAGAAGCTCAAAATGGCCATTTTTTTTGTCTGCTTCCTGCGCACATGTGGTTTTGATGCACCTGGAATGTATTTGGCAGATTAAGACTTAAAAGTGCAGTTGGGCTTTAAAATAATCATTTGTTGCAGCCCGACTTAATATTCACCTCTACCACTGCCGGTGTCGCCAGTCTCTGCAGTAATGAAGAGAAACCACAAGCTGAAGATCGTGCGGAACCCAACACTTCCGGGGTTGTTGGATTTCTGACCCCGCTGCTAAGCTCAAGGGTTCAACCTGCCGGCCCTTTATGTTACTGCAGGACACTGTGGTGATGTAGGGGCTTTCGGGAGGAACCACACTGTACAGCACGTGACCAGGGAATCCAACACTTCCGGAAGTGAAGCTTTATATTACTTAAGGTCCCCACACACCTTACGATAATCGTACGATAATCGCGGGAAATCCCGCGATCGTACGATTATCGTAAGGTGTGTGGAAGCCGTGCGACCTCTACTACTGTAAGGTCGCACGACTTTAAACTTACGGACATGTTGGAAAACCCGCCGATCATCGTATGATGTTCGGCGGGTTTGTGGCATGTTCGTACGATAAAAGCCGTACGGGCCGGTGTGTGCAAGCGCACACTGCCCGTTCGGCAGTGCGGTCATCGGAAAGCCCGCCCCTCAGGGGGCGTGACTTGGGATCATCGCAAGTACGATCTGCCTATGCAAGATAGGCAGATCGTACGTTTTTTTAAGTACCTTACAACCATCGCAAGACAAAAGTCTTGCGATGGTTGTAAGGTGTGTGCCCAGCCTTACTAAGCCCTGTGAACATTCACTTTCCTAAGTGAACAGCTTCTATTTCTTTAACCCCTTGCTGCCGCCGCCACCTACCGGTCCTTTAACTGGGTTTTAAAGTAGACGTAAAGTCAGGAAAATTAAAAAAATCACTCTGGGTAGGGATTTTTGGCAGAAGAAAGGGCCCCCCTACGTTCCCAGTGTATTGGTGCAGAGAGCGGTACTGATGAAATAACTAAATATATTTGTACTAAAGGGTGTCCCTCTTGCCCACCATAAAGTTGAAGGGTATGTCCGAGAGTGCTGTAAAACATGCAGTCAGCCTACAGTATTAACCACTCCCCGCGGGTTCACGTAAATGTACGTCATCCGCTGGAAGTGGTTAAAAGAAGAACACGGCTGCACCATTTTAAACAGCAGACGATTGCTGTTTAAATTCAAGCGGTCTGGCGTCTGTACAGGCGACTGATCACTTGTACGGTGCGGCGCCGTGTCCCCCTACCCTCCCCCTCCAAGGCCGCGGGTGCCGTCATCGGCTTCTGGGGCTCATCTGTCCCTCGCGTGAGCTCGGGACCAGCGTGGAGGGTCTCCCCTGATAGATCGGAGGAGAGATCAGCGGCTTCTAGCCGCTGATCTCGCCTCCATCAATGGACCCGGAAGTGATGTGCATTACATAACTTCCGGTGTCACTGGGCACATTGGCTCCTAGAACCAGAAGAATCTCTGCTTTGGGGTCCCTAGGTGACATTAGGGGTCTGAAAGACCCCTGATGTCTCCATAAAGAGGACCTGTCACATTATATTGTTGTTAGCCCCCTATGTGATAGCAATAAAACAATGTAAAAAAAATCGTAAAAATGTAACTTACTAACCAGAAGCCGATTAATCGATTATTGAAAAAGTTGACAACTTTTTCAATAATCGATTATGTCGATTAGTTGTTGCAGCCCTAAACTAACATAAAAGAAAAAATGCAAAATAAAATGTTTAAAGTCTCCCCCACCCCCGTGTGCATGCGCATACAATGCAAACTCGCGTCGGATGAGCCTACATGCAAAAACAAACACAAATGTTATATATCGTCGCGAGCGTCGGAGTGAGAGCAATAATTCTAGGCCCATCAATCACTGTTAGCACTAAACTGATGAGCGGTAAAAGCGTTTAAAGTATCGCCTACGGGAAATTTTGGTTATTGTCGTTTTTTGCGGTTTCACGGATGCACGCAATTTTAGGGCTTGACATGTTTGGTATCTATTTACCCGGCGTGTCCCCATCTTTTATATTTTACCGAAAAATTGGGCATTATATTCTGTTTCTGTGCACTACATTTTATTTTAGTGTATTTTATCCTAAAAATACTTGTTTGATAAACATTTGCGCAAATACCGCGCGACATAAAAAATTGCGACTAGCATCTTTTTATTCTACAGGGCCTCCGCTTTCAGAAAATATATCACTGTTTGGGGGTCAGAAGCTGTTTTCTAGCCAACAATTCTGATTTTATCATGTGTGTGCAAATGTAAGAAATCGCTCCGGGCAGCAAGTGGTTAATAAAAGATGTAGGAAATGGTATATTATGTGAGGAATTGAAAACGGCACAACATCATTTAGAATCTGGCCGGTGATGTTTTATTGAAGAATTGTTTTGCTGTTCTTTGTAGGGTTGAGTGTCTACACAAGGGGCAGCCATGGACAAAGGAGGCAACATTCAGCTGGAGATCCCAGAGTTCAGCAACTCTGTCCTGAGTCACCTCAACCAGCTGCGGATGCAAGGCCGCCTGTGCGACATTGTGGTCAATGTGCAGGGCCAGTCCTTTCGGGCACACAAAGTGGTGCTAGCTGCAAGTTCACCCTATTTTCGAGATCACATGTCCCTGAACGAGATGAACGCCGTGTCTTTATCGGTTATCAAGAACCCGGGGGTCTTCGAGCAGCTTCTCACCTTCTGCTACACAGGGCGTATTTGCCTGCAGCTCGCCGACATCATAAGCTATCTGACCGCCGCCAGCTTCTTGCAAATGCAGCACGTCATCGATAAGTGCACACAGATCCTCGAAGGCATCCACTTAAAGATCAGTTCCCCCGAATCGGAGGAAGAACTAAGTCAAACCAGGCCCAAACATCAAGAGAGGGCGCAGGATTCACACCGCGTCACCCAGAGTTTGACTCGATCCTTGAGTCCACGGCACAGCACTCCAAGGACCTCAGGGAACCGGAGGGGCCAGGTAAGCACTGTACTAGACATTAGAGAGCTGAGCCCAGCTGAGGAGTCCACAAGTCCTCAGATGGTGGAGCAAGGATCAGATGTGGAGAGCAGGGAGCCCATTCTTCGAATTAACCGAGCAGGACAATGGTATGTGGAAACAGGGTCGGCGGACCGAGGAGAGCGGAGTGACGACGATGTCAGGGTGATGGGGGCCCTGCGTATCAAGACGGAGAATTTGGATGAGTGGTTGGGTCCAGAAAACCAGCCGTCGGGTGAGGACGGAAGCAGTGCAGAGGAAGTGACTGCAATGGTCATCGATACAACAGGGCACAGTGCTGCCGGACAGGAGAGCTTCAGTTTGGCGTCCTCTGGTTCCAAAGTATCCAGGCCAACCAGCAGCGAAATAGACAGGTAAGTGGTGATCGATCCACCTCAAAGTAATAAAGATTTTGTAAGAAGATATGCAAATGTCTACCGTGTTTGTATAGATAGTAGCGGGTAAAAAACACAAACAAGGGGCGCCTTTCCTGGTGCAGACAAATTTATTAAGATCAGAATAGAAGGTAAATATAAAACATACTCACAAAATTCATGATAGAAGTATAAAAAGTATATAAGTTAAGTCCATGGACCCAAGGTGAAGTCTATGAAAGCTGCACAGCCGTGTCTATGTGTCAGCAGGAGACTGTGTGCTGTAGCGGGTAATCACATTCAATGGGACTTGTAGAAGATGTTTTGCAGCCTATGCAAGCCACTTCTTAAGTTCTAATGAGTGTCACCAACATACCCCAGCATTTAAATCCACACAGGTAGCACTGTCACCTTAATCCAGTCACCATGTAATGAGTCAAGGCAGATGTTGATTGTCCAAGAGGTTTAAACGTAGAACTACCCTGTTCTAGTTACATAATCTCATCCCGTGACTGCGGGAAATCTGTGTGGGTGTCAATCTTTTGAAGTTTACATGACTAATGGCCAAAGATGTGATATTTTTTTTTTTTTTAATCACTAGGGTGGGAATGTTAAAATGGTATTATATGTGGACGGCAGATAGCATTGAAGGCCCCCAGCCTGTTTGGGGATGATTGTGCCAGTTTGATGTAGATGGCCTCTTGCAAACTCTTGTTTCCTGTCTCTTGAAAATGTGCACCTCGCTGTCCTTAAGGTCTCGTTCACACCTAGGCGTATTGCATATGCGTGTCTGTCGCGCGTTTTTTTACTGCGATTCGCGGTAAAAAAAAGTGGCGCGACAAACGCGCGTTTCTGAAGGCTACTTGGCTGTATCCCAATGGAAACGCACAACAAAACGGCCCAAAGTAGTACCTGTACCTTTTCAGGCGTGGGCCGTTTTGTAGCGCGTTAGGGACGGGCGGAAATACGCCAAGGTGGGAACGAGACCATTGAATACAATGGGATTTATATTTTTGAGCGTTTTGTAGAGCGTTCGTCGAGCGTAGAACGCGCTACAAAACGTTCAGGTGTGAACGAGGGCTAAAATAATGTCCCCTTTCCTTACGGTGTAGAGGAACTGCCCTTTGAGGTGTAGGAATCCTGACCAGTAGAATTGCCCTCCTATTCCACATATAAAATCTCTACCCCATTGATTTGACTACACTGCACTCCTTCAGCCATGTCATTCGAAGGATTGACACCTATGCAGGCTTCCTGACGCCAAAGACGGGATTAATTTTGATGTGACTAAAACAGGACGGCTCCACAACTGTATCAGTACTGCTTGGACCGAGAGGAAGAGGGTAGACCCCCGAGAGGATGTCCTAAAAAATTAACTGTTTTTGCAAATCAAAGAAAAATGATCACCAATGGTACTTTGCTGTGTTGTTACAAGTAGGGATGCATCGATACCGAGTATTTGGGCGAGTACTCGTTCTTGCCCAAATGCTAAGATACTTACCTTCGATGTAGAAACTTTCAGTCGGAGGGAGATCTCCCAATGACCAGCAGTGCCAAGGGATCATGCTAGGCAGCCTGGCTTCCTAACTAATCAGGAAGCCGGGCGGCACGTAATGACCCGACTTCCTGATTGGTCAGGAAGCCAGGCTGCCTAGGAACAAGTAAAGCTGGGTGGCACGTCATAACTCGCCTCCTGGCTTGCTGATTGGTCAGGATGCTACGCTGTCTAGAACAAGTGACGCCGGCTTCCTAGCTAATCAGGAAGGTGGGCGACGGGTCACGATCTGCTGCCCGACTTCCTGATAATCAGGGCACAATGCACCTGTATTGGTATCATCGAGTACTGAAAACAAATATCGGTACTCGTACTTGATACTGAAAAACCGGTATCGGTGCTTTCCTAGTTACAAGTGCACCAATACCGCCACAACCAGTTAATAATTTAAATGTTTTGCTTCAACACTAAAGGGTCTATTTATAAATGGTGTCACGCAACTTGCACCCAAGATTCACACATTTTTCTAATTGAATTCAACTGGAAACGTGTGTGAATCCTGGGTATGCGTTATGTGAATCTTTTGTGAAAACATTTATAAATAGACCCCACTCAGGTCATTATAATGGGGATGCTTAGGAGTGTTTCTTTTAAGACAATCCGTATCTATAGCGGATGACCAGTACAGGTTTTCTTTCTCCGGTGTTCTCTTTATTTTTGTAAGGAAATGTTCCAGGTAAATGTTCCCACGTCATCTGACACTGTTTATTTCCCTTACTACCCAAGATTCAGCCCATCTGGCAGTGTGGGCGCCATGCCAGAGAGGCACAGAGCAAAGAGTGAGTCTCCTCGGCGGTTGGAGGAACCAAAGCAGCACAGCTCCCAGGTCAGTGATTGGCTGAAAATTACATTCTAAAATCTATTTTTTTTTTTTTTTGCATTTTCATCTTGCCCTCACAGTATTTCTATTGCTTTCCTCTTCAGGGGTGTCTGCCCCTCAGTATCTCTCGGGTGTATATAGAGTAAGTATGCCAGCCACAGCTTTCTGAAATCTTCAGAAGCTGAAATAGATTGTGGGAGAGACAGAGGCAAAGCAGTGGCAGCTCCGTGCTCATTCTTGTTCGCTGGATTTGTGCAAGAAGTGAAATGTACATACTAGGTTTCTTGAATAGCTGGCCAAATTAGGCCTAAATATGCTACTGCTGTAGCTGCCTTTACAGGACGGAGACCACTGTTTGTTTAATTCAGTTATATATTTTTTTTATACCATACAATAGAGATGCACCTATACATCGGCCGCTGAAACATATCAGCCGAAAATGGCACTTTTGGCAAAATGTTGAAAGTGCCATTTTTTTGCTGAAATAGCGGTGCATCCGTGATTTCTATCCTCCCCGCTGGGTGCTCCTCTGTGTCCCAGCGGGAAGGAGAGAAACTGTCACAGCTGGCCGAGCGCTGTGAGCGGCCGGCGTCTCTCCTCCCCGCACCACTCAGCCTCCTATCACAGATCGGGAGAACGATGTGGGGGCGGAGACAGCCCACGCTGTCACAGGAGGCTGAGCTCTCCTCCCTCTCTGCTTGCTCAGCCTCCTGTGACAGCTGTCAGGAAGGAGAGCGGTACAAGCAGTCAGTGATCGCTGAGTGTTTGTAAATAATTGAGGACAGAGTATGGTTACTATATCCTCAATTATGAGTGAATGGGAAGTACATCACTTCCTGTTTATTCATAGTTGTAGTTATAGTAAACACACTCTGTCCTCATGTTATGAATGAACAGGAAGACTCAGTATAGAGTGATAACAAGGGATACGGAGTGATGACTGGATACAGAAAAAGAGATTGAGGACTCAATCTCTTTTTCTATTTTAAAAGGGAAATATCAGGGGTCTGTTTATATTTCCCCAAAGCCCCAAAAAGTTAAAAATATTTAATAAAAATGAATAAATAAAAACAAAAAAGTTTATACAAAATGCAATATTTTTTAGAAAAAGAATAAAAAACATTTAGGGCCTGTGTCTTTATATTAGCTTGCTATAGTCCCCTGATGCAGGAAGCAGGTATGTGAAGTACATCATAGTCATTAACAAAGGGTCAGCTGGTGGAGTATTGAAAGCTGATTTCTGGTGGTTTGGTATGTACAACACTAACCTTTGCCATTTGTTATTAATTGAACTCGCATACATTCTCGCAGGCCACTTAAAATGTAAATTCTTGCACACTAGTCTTTAGAACCTTTATTTTTTTTTATTATTCAGGGGGAAGAAACAGGAGTTATTGGGGTTAGCGGTTACGTAGAATATCTCCGTGAGCAGGAGGTGTCAGAGCGATGGTTCCGCTATAACCCAAGACTAACCTGCATCTACTGCGCCAAATCTTTCAACCAGAAGGGCAGCCTAGACCGGCACATGCGGCTCCACATGGGAATCACTCCCTTCGTGTGTCGGATGTGTGGGAAGAAGTACACCCGCAAGGATCAGCTGGAGTACCATATCCGTAAACATACAGGCAATAAGCCCTTCCACTGCCACGTGTGTGGGAAAAGTTTCCCTTTCCAGGCCATCCTCAATCAGCACTTTCGGAAGAACCACCCTGGTTGTATTCCTCTCGAGGGTCCTCACAGCATTTCTCCCGAGACCACCACTGTTGTTACCTCGCGAGGCCCAGCTGGCGAAGATTCACCTCCTCACGAGGAAGTCGGCGGAGTAGGACCCTCGGCAACAGCTGACGTGACGTACGGCGGGGAGACGGCTCACGGTTCAGTGTCCACCACCGGGCCAGACTAAAACACAAGAGAATATATATTACAGGAGGACACAAAGAGACTAATATCCTCCCCTTTTACCTCAACAGATTTTAACGACGTTTTCCTTCCCTTCTGCTCCTCTCCAAGTGGAGGTTGGGCCCTCAGAATGCCGACTCAGAGCAATCATGGAATGATGGGAAGTTTGAGAAGTTTATTGCCAAAATCCAGAAAAGTAACCACGTGTTAGCTTCCGATGTTCATCTTTTCTCTTGACTACAGAGAGCGGCAGCGACTGTATGAAGAAAAAGAGCTACTGTTTTGGGGTTTTTTAACGTGAATATATCCTTTTTAATCTTTTTCCAGTACACCTAGAATATGACGGCCCCCCCGAGCATACACAGCGAATCAGAAAGCTGTGCGTTCAGTTACAATGCAAAGGGGGTCCCCCAGGAGCTGCCATAGGCGTTGCAGAATCTTTATCAATGAAACTTTCTTTTGAAATGTTTTTGGCAGACAGTGTATTCCGGTCCTGGCCTGCATAGAAGTTTGATGGTGCTGCCATAGGTGTAATAATAGGGTGCTCAAAGATACTTCTGTAGCAGAGTCAGGGTCTCTTCTATACCCGTATGAAAGGTTTATTTTACTTTTTTTTTTATGTGATTGAATGGGGCGGCACTGCAATAAGTAACCTTTTAGACATTCTCTCATTGTTCAAGCAGTGAATTAGGGGTATCTCTGAGGCTTAAAAAGCAACTCCTTCTGTGACTTATTACTGAGTTTTAGGTGGATTAGGAAGGGTTTCATCACCTTTCATGCTTCTTAAAGGTACACTCCATTCAAACCTGAAAAAGCAGGACTTCTCCTGACTCGTGGGACCCCGCATCCCTTCACTAGTCACTAATATTCACCCTGGTGGCTTCTGCTACTGGTTGCCCTTTTAGCTATATTTCTGTGGTTGGTAATATCCTTATTTCCGGAAAGGACAATGAATCTGAGCCAGAGAAAGTGCAGGCAAGTGTGTTTTGTGATTGCAGCACTGCTTTCAATTTAAGCCCACATTTTGGTGCAATGGATTGCACAGCTCAGAATCATGTGACTAAAGACTGCAGTCCCACGTAAAAGCAGTGTGAAAATCATTCTAAATCTGTCTACAAGGGATTATAGATACCCAAATGAACATTAAATTTAACATGACTTGGATGGGGCAACATTTTCACTTTTAGCATTAGAGGTTCACCCATGTCTATGCTTGCATGGAGTAGCTGCCTACAAATTTGGGGGATTCTGACACTTGAGCATCTAGTTCTACCCTATTCCCTTATTTGTCACCTCCTCCCAGGGTCCCGTTCCCTTGTTTGTCACCTCCTCCCAGGGTCCCATTCCCTTGTTTGGCACCTCCTCCCAGGGTCCCGTTCCCTTGTTTGGCACCTCCTCCCAGGGTCCCGTTCCCTTGTTTGGCACCTCCTCCCAGGGTCCCGTTCCCTTGTTTGGCACCTCCTCCCAGGGTCCCGTTCCCTTGATTGGCACCTCCTCCCAGGGTCCTCTTCCCTTGATTGGCACCTCCTCCCAGGGTCCTCTTCCTTTGTTTGGCACCTCCTCCCAGGTTCCCCTTACCTTGTTTGGCACCTCCTCCCAGGTTCCCCTTCCCTTGTTTGGCACCTCCTCCTAGGGTCCTCTTCCCTTGTTTGGCACCTCCTCAAAGGGTCCCCTTCCCTTGTTTGGCACCTCTTCCCAGGGGCCTCTTCCCTTGTTTGCCACATACCTGGGTTTTTCTTCCTCCCAGGGCCCCCAGGAATTTAGAACACATCAGTGAGATGATAAAACCTGCAGGAGTCCACCTAAAATGAACTAAATGATTTGAGGCAGAATTGTCCTTGAAGATGTCCCTGTACATATGTGCGTATTTCTTACATAAGAAAGGTTATTCTTCTTTTTTTTTATCTTGGTGTTTTTTGGCAGCTGCCTGCTTTGTGGATTTCTAAGAGAGGGTTGCTTGCTATAGGTTTATAGGTTAGGACGCCCTAAGCTAGCTCTCATAATACGGAGGCTTTTCCAGTAACACGAGATGGATCCCTTAACTATTCTTGTGTTTTTGATTAGCCTAAATTTTTTTAATGAATTGTTATTTATAAGAGACTACAGCTAAACTTCTCCCCCTAAGCTTCTTCCGCACCTTTGGTTCTATGAACAAGGGAGATCTACTTCACTTCATCTACCTTTTATTGCAATACAAGTTTGCTAACTGACTAGTGAATATGCTTTAACACACCTGACGTTCAGTATACCTTGTTTTCCGTGAGCTTCTTATATGCCAGAGGCACGTTCAGGAAGCTTCCTGGCATACGAGGGCCATACAACAGTATTTCATATATTTATTTATTTTTATTGTTTTTTACAAAGCAACATGTAGTTTTCCATATTTTATAGAGCAGCGTTTTGTTTTTTCTGATTATTTTATTAGTATTGTTTGTTTTTCAGAGGAATGACAATGGGAGGTGTTTTGTATTCTAAAGGGCTTTTAGTGTTTAGAATATACAGTATATGAAAAAACATGTCGGCCCTTTCACCAAACTGAAAGGGCCGTCCACTACAACCGTATTCATGGTGCTGTGAGAGTTGACTGTAATATGTAAATGGAACTCGCTTCCATGCCTACATCACCAATTAGATGTTCAATGGACCTGAAACACTTCCGGGACTCGTCGCCTCCACCTCAAACTAACTAGGTCCAGTAGGTTGCCCCATGGATTTCCAAGGTGCCAACACCTAGTCAAAGGAGATGCAGGGGCTGTCAAACCCACATAACAGAGATCTGGAGGTAGGTGCAGTTTTACACTCTTTGCTCACACTCACTCCACAGATACAACCCTCAGGGAGTTCTTTAAAATACCAAAATGATTTTGAAGGACTTGTCTCCTGAGCTTTTTTTTGTCAATAACATGGTTTCCTTAGAGCCAAACTGTTTACACTTACCAGAGAAAGTCGTATTAACGAAACATTAATTATGCATTTTCTTCATATGTTTATTGTATTTGTTTCACTGTTAGGCATATTTATGTTGTTTCCCAGTTCAAGGGTTACTCCCCTCATAGAACTAGGTTTTTTTTTGTTAGCAGCTAAGTTGTCTACTGAAATAGGTCTAAGTCATCTCATGGCAGTAGTTGTCAAAACTCCTCTTTCTCCTTAAAGCAGCCCTGTCACCAGATATAAGTTAATACAGGCAGTCCCCGGGTTACAAACAAGATAGGTTTGTTCTTAAGTTGGAACAGGTACAATTTTTAAGTGCAACTCCAGCCCAAAAAAATGTTTTTTTAGTTTAGGACAGCATAGGGAAGGGTTAACCCCCTGTAACATTTGTTTTGCTGTCCTCACAGTGGCTCTAATCCCACACCATACTAACCAAAACTAAAAAAAATTAAAGTTGCATGGAGTTCTACTTTAAATGTAACTTAGACAGATGTTTGTACAACCTCCCGTACTGTACAGTACCAGACCCGGAAGAAGGGGCAGGAACTCCTCGTCTGCTCATCTAAAAACTTCCTGTACTGATACAGTACCAGACCCGGAAGAAGGGGCAGGCACTCCTCGTCTTCATCTAACAACTTCCTGTACTGGTACAGTACCAGACCCGGAAGAAGGGGCAGGCACTCCTCTTCTGCTCATCTAACATATTCCTGTACTGTACAGTACCAGACCCGGAAGAAGGGGCAGGCACTCCTCGTCTGCTCATCTAAAAACTTCCTGTACTGTACAGTACCAGACCCGGAAGAAGGGGCAGGCACTCCTCATCTGCTCATCTAACAACTTCATGTAATGTACAGGAGGTACAGTACTACGAACGTCGGCGCGAGCACGGTAGCATTACAACTAGTGGAACACTCTGGGACCTCCGTTCTTAAGTACGAGTCGTACATAAGTCGGATGTTCGTAACTCGGGGACTGGCTGTGCATCAGAAATATATACACATCAAGGTGTATTGGACAGTGTGGCCCCCGCAGGGTGGTGTGGTTCACACTGTTGACCACCTATGTCTTGATGAGACACAGTAGTGATGTAGGGATGGGCAGGAGGAACCAGAGCACCCAGTGGGGGGACACATTCTACTCCTCCGTTTGATAGAAGAGGCCCTCTGAGCTCTTCAAGAGAGTAAAGTTTGATTGCATCACCCACTAGAGAAGTACTTGTCAATCTTCCTCTTTTAAAGTCTTAAACTTAGGAACAGGATTGGTTTACTGCTCAGCCATGCCTGCTCTTAAAGCTGGCCATACACAGTTCTGGTTTTCTTTTGGTCAACCCACGGGCTGAACAAAAAGAATAGAATAGATTCCTCCAGCAGTGCTACGAGCGCGTTGATCAAGGAATCCCCTCTTTTTCATTTGTATGTCGGCGGCCACTGTCAGAATACCTTCGTTCAAAGATTTTCCTACCAGCTCCTTTGATAAGTCGACAGAGGGATGCCGGCTGAAAGGGTGCTGACAGTGGTACCCACTGTGCGAATTTCGGCCGGTTCCTGATAAACCAGACGAAAGTTGCATAATGTTTGGCCAGCTTTAGGTTCAGTGAAGCCTTGAGGGAGTGCATCTGTATCGGTGAAGTTGGTCAGACCTACTCATCATAGCTTCTGGCTATGGCCATGGCTACTGTGCCCATCCAGCATTTTCAGCTTGGCTCTGGTCACCCTGTGGCAAAAGCACCGTACCGACAAGACATGGCTGCCTGCAAACACCCCGCGTGCGATCATTTCCTGAGGAGCAGAGGTGTCTTTGACAATATCACCATGAAAGTGGATAATAAGAGATGACTTGGCCCTGCTTCAAGGGACAGGAAGCAAGACAAATCTGCAGATGGAGCAGAAAACCTTGAAACAAGCTCAGTTCTGTCATGGCTGTATGTGTTGCATTCCGGTAACAAACAGTCTCAGGTTGTGTACAATATTTATTTACTTAAGGAAAGTTTCTCTTCTTATACAGGGAACTTACCACCAAGCCCTTTTTTTCCCTCTACATTAAGGTATGTGATCTCTTTTTGCCTGATTGAGGCTTAAAATGTCAAAAAGCAAAAGGGCATAGGCTTTGTTATAAGGGCCGGTGCGCACCTAGGCGACACCTCACCACGCGGATTGCTGCGCAATCAGGAGTCGCCTAGGTGTGCTGTGGGTGCCATTATTTTCTAATGGCACCCCAGTCGCATCACGCGGTTCCCCGCCGTGATTCCGAACACGCGGCTAAAACAGCTGCGCGTCGTGTATCGCAAAAAAAAAAAGGTACATGTATCTTTTGTCTGC